TTATTTTATTAGCAATACTACAGATATCTTGAGGTTAAATTGGTTTATTAATTTTTTTTATTGTAATTTTTTAATTTATAACTATAATTTTAATATCACATATGGTTTTAAAGAATTTGAGTTTTTTAAAATAAGGTCATAAAATTAACATATTGTACAACAACTATTAAAAAAACATACGGTTGTCATTTTACTTCGTAGAAAGATGCCGTTTCCGTTATATATTTTATTTTTGTGTGATTAGGCCTATCATGCTTTGAATGTGGAGAAGCATTCATAGATGCCTTTGTATAAATGCTTTATTTTAATTGTCATTGCAATTTAAATTTTCTGACTTTAACATTCAAGATTCATTTTAACTTAGATGAGAGTTAATTATAATATTTTTTGTTTGAAATTAGAGCATGCGAAGGGTGTTAGATCATTTTAAATTTAATTTGAAACATTGGAGGAGATTAATTGAAAGGGTATGGACTTTTTTATAATTTATTTTTTTATTTTGAAATATTAGAGATATCTTTTAGAGTTTTTATGAGGAATTACCAAAATTAATGAGATTTTTTTTTATAGAAATTACGGATATAAGTTTTGGTTTTGATTGTTATAGTACATATGGTTTTGGTAGTGTTTGAACATAAGTTTGAATGTTTAAGTGATATTTCTTATTTTCAAGTGATAGAACTTTCCGTACCGGATTTTGCAAGTATTCTACCCATTTGCATTAGGGCAAGTCTGATACACCAAACATCCACACCTAAGCAAAAACAAGAGAATAAACCAAACATCCACACCTAATCACTCAGGAGTGTTATAGCAAAACAAGAGAAATTTGGCCCAATAATTCATGAAAATATAGAAAAATGAGTATAAGTATTCAAAATTGATAATTTAGTTGGATATTATGGGATGCAGCAATCGAATAAAAAAAAATTTAAATACAAAAAACACTTTGAACAAAAAAAAAAAAAAAAGGAACAAGCTCTATCCTTTTCATACCGTATAAAACTTATACGCTTCACCCTATCCAACCGTTCATTTTGAGTACGGGCCAGTTTGATTACTACCAGTCTCATTCTGTTCGAGTACGGGCCAATCTGTTACCTACTGGTCCCGTTCAATTCTGACGGTTCTGCCGTTCTCATTAGCAATGTGGTCATCAATATGTGGTTCCAATTGGCAATATAGCTGTGAATGTTATGGGCAAGTATTTCAATAGTATATAAATGTTAGTTGAATTCATGTATCCTCAATAATGTCGTTTAGGTTTTTAGGTTTTAGAGTTTTATTAAGTTTCTGGATGAGTATTGAACTTTTATGTAATACTGCTCAAAAAATCAATCTTGATACTCTGTACAAGCAACATTATAATAAAGGAAACATTTCATTACTAATGTAATGCTGCCCAAGAAAGCAATCTTAAAAAAAGTTACTCTATAAAAGAAAGCAATCTTAAAAAGTAGTCTTGAGAGTGCAAGCAGTATCACAATGCAAGCAGCAGAACAATAAAGCCAATCTTAAAAAAATATTATTTTAGAGTGCAACCAACAGTAAAAATAAAGGTTGAGACTAGTTTACTCTTCAAAAGCAGTTATCTCACTCAGACTTAAACTTACTCTTAATTATTTTCGATAAAATTATTTTATTTTATTATGATTTAAATTCTATAGTTGAATCTGTTGGTAAAATAAATTTATTGCGATATTTTATAGTAAAATTTTTTCTCGATAATAGCACATATGTAATCTGAGAGTAAAATCGGTTATTTGAATTTGAAAAGAAGAATATCATTTATAGGACCCGGTTTTTATGCGGCCAAGCCTGTATATATAGAAATGCAGGCCTCTAAGTAAATCGATTTTTGAGATGGATTTTAAGACTTAATTTTTAAAGACATGTAATCTCTAACATGAAGATCACGAATATGAAAAAATAAATATATTTTAAAAACTAAAAATAATAATTATAGTAAAAAATATTTGGATTGTTAGTTTCCATTATTTTTAGATGGAACACCTACTTGCATCCATCTTTAAGGAAAGCGAAGAGCAATTTGTAAATAATTGATACTGGATATATAAGTTAAAGCAAAAATTGGATATATTTCTATTCGATACACGTCAGAAACTACTGTCAACATTACCATTTATAAGATTTTTAATATATTTATGCTTCTTATTGCTTGAACTTATTTATTAATCTCAATAAAAAGATACTTATAGTAAATAAATATATTACAATTTGCGTAAAATCCCAATAAAGGGTGCAGTTGGCATACAGATGCATCCGTAGCTGTAGATGTAAGGTGCACCTTCAAATTTCATCATGGTATATAATTTTGATGTAAAATGTTTCAGGATTATCTCAAAATCTTTTTTTATATCTAATTATAGAATTTTAAATTTCAAAAATGGTTAAAATCAAGTAGATCTATAAACATATGAAAATATTGAAAATGGATGGTGTAGATAATATGTTGTAAAGTGCACTATTTCTGATACTTAAAATCTTTTTTATTTTCATAGTCATACACCTCGATGTCGAGATGATCAATCAAAGGTTTTTTCAACATTAAAACCACATTTTTCGATGGATTTTTGAGGTGCATCCACCGTTCTACATTATAAGGATGCATCTTTATGTTGGTTTATGTGGTCTTTAAATGTCATATGAGTGTGTAACAAAAAACATTTATTATAGTGGAACATAAACTCAATGGGAGTGTGGTCCCTCGAGAACCATACTAAGCAAACGATGTTTGCTGATACCGGACTGTGCTTGACAATCTAGGTCAGTCGGTTGGAAAACCCAAGGTACCTGGGCATAAAGAATAAATCGAGAAGCGTTTTTGGGTTAGCCCTTGATGATGTCGGAGCTTATGCCTAGATGAGTGAGCTGAGGGACTCTATGACCCTTGTGTATGATGGTAAGCCTGCAGAAACGAGGACCAAAACCTCATCCAAGATCTCCATCACACGGCATGTATATCGATAGATCGTTCAGGAAAGCCAGTGTTCCACCTTTTGGGTGAAACGTATGTATGTGCGACAGGTACCCTTATACACTATAGAGTTATGGTCGCATCAGGTTGTAGTGACCTTGACTCGTCTCTAGGGGAGGACCTGTAATCCACAGACTGGGATTGTGACCCCTTGACTCATCGGGCAGACTTTGGTGATCTGTGGGTCATGAGAAACATTGGGTCTGTTCGATAAAACAAGTGTGGTCTGTAGTTCGTAGTTGAAGGTGGAGTACCCAATAATTACATGAATTCTTAAAACCATATGGATCATTTTCCAATCATATTAATTTAATTATATTCATTTTATTATTGAAATGATTTTAGTTTTATTATTTAAATTTTTATGAATCTCTCAATATTTTGTTTTATGATTTTTGGACTTGTAAAAATACAGTTATTGATTTTACAAAGTTATAAAAAAAATTCAAATATATATTAAATTTTTTTTTTATAAAATTCTAGGGGGCTCATAGTACACATGGCCCCACGGTGTGGCATGTGAGTGGGGCTCACATGTGCCACATAGGGGTGGCACGCCCCACCCCTTTGGATTCCTTTTTTTGATAGCTTTATGTTCAAATTATTTAAATATGGAAAGTGTATCTTATGTCATATGATCAATTTGTAATATATTAAATATTAACCATATCTTATCTATTTATTAACTTGATATTTCTTGATATATTCTTATGGAATATATGAGATGAATAATGGAATTTTATGGAATGCATGATATCTTTAATGGATTTAATTTATTTAAATATATTGATGGGAAAATGGTTTAAGGAAAGTGGGATAATGGTTCATGCACCTTCTATAATATTGATGACTCATCTATAGAATGGATGACTTAGATCTCTCATCCCACAAGTCACCTTGATCAACGGTCCATATTTAATCTCAAGAAAGAGGCAAACTATAGGAAACCCTAAAAACCCTAGACCTAAATTTCACTATAAATAAGGATGCTCTCCCCCATCTCTATACACCTCTCTCTCATAACCTCGCTCTCTCCCATATACTCTCTCTCTCCTCCTTAGGGGCCACGCCCCTCTCGCTCCTCTCAGGCTTTCTCTCTCTAACCCTCTTTCTCTCCTAAGACCCATAGGGGGCACGCCCCAACCCTAGGTCTCCTTTTCTCTCTCTCTTGACCTAAATAGCCCTAGGTCTCTTTTTCTCTCTCTCTTGACCTAAAGATTTAAGGATAGGGAAAATTAGGGTTTGAACCTAATTGTTTTAGAGTTAGGGTTTTGTAGAGATTTAAGGGGTTACCTAGTTTGGCCGAAATTAGCTTTCTCGGTTCGAGATGACTTAGGGTTTTGTAGAGATTTAAGGGGTTACCTAGTTTGGTCGAAATTAGCTTTCTCGATTCGAGATTGAAGCTAGACCACTGATCCCGCGCCATTGAATGTGGTGACTCGGTGTCGGGTATAATAAGTCTGGTTGAGGTAATCTCTAGCATCTTTTCTTTTACTTTCTTGCTCTTTTATATTCTCAAGCATAATATTAAGTTGAATAAATGATATCAAGTGGTTGAGTTTTATTTTATTGTTGTGCTATTTTATTTTGAAATATTTATTGATTGTAATAAGACCATATGTAAGTGATCTTTTTGCCAAAATAAAAAGAGGTAATTATTATCATTAAAAAAAATAAAATAAAATAAATTGTATTCCCTAACAAAATATCACATAGGTCTTTCTTTCACCTTATATAAACTTTTTCCCCAATAAAACACCTTCCATACAAATAGTGATTACTCTTCACTAAGCTTGTAGATACAATGCGTTAGAGAGGGGGAAGTAGGGGTGAGTGAGTCTAGTCATGCCATGGACGAGTCGTTAAGGAATGGTAGCTCTCTCTCTCTCTCTCTCTATCTAACTTACAATTCTAGAGAGAGAAAGAGAGTTATGAACTTAGGTAAGGGTGGTTGTGGAATGGTAGTTGTTTCACCATCTGCTTCCTCCTGCAAATAAAGATGGCTACTTTGACGTCAATATGAAGAAAACTTAGGGAAGAAGGTTGATGAGTGCGATTATATTATATAAGGCTTCATCTACTACTGCCACTCTTGGTACAAAGACTGGAAGAGGGGTCTCGCATTTGGGTCGCCCGGGTTTTGGATTAGTGTTTTGAGAGAGAGAGATGGGTCCAGGTGGTCCGGGTCCTGGTGGCCCTCCTGGCTGGGGACCTGGGCCTGGAGGTCCTGGTTACGGCCCCTGTGGCTTCCTCTCTTCATGGTAATCTTTCCCTCAAACCTCTCTTCACACCAACACTTTCAATCTCTATATTTTATTCCCCCTCTCTCTCATCACACACTCTTCAACCCATTTCCATATATCCTCTCCCTTTCTCTCTTCACATACACACACTCTTCAACATATTCCATATATCCTCTTTCTCTCTCCCTCTCTCTTCACATACACACACTCTTCAACATATTTCATATATCCTCTCTCTCTCCTAACATACATTAGTTTTTTTTTTTTCTTTTCAACATATTTCATATATCCTCTCGCTCTCCTACATGCTCACACACACACATTTAGTTTTTTTTTTTTTTTCGGTATTTCAACGAGGAAGAGGGACCCTACCTATTTTTTTAAGTAGATAATGAGTTAGCTTTTTGAAAGTATTAGTGGAGTGGTATTAGTAGTGGGAATGAAAACCACAAACGTATGGGTACTACACATAAACTAATTACTTAAATGTAAGTGTTATGTTAGGGCTTAGTTAGATGACAGCTAATATTATGAAAAGTATTTGGTGAATCAGTCAACTCGCCTGTAGATATACGGCCCCCTTTGAAAATTGATATTTAAGATGGATTTTAAATCCAAAATTTTGAGATTTATTAATCTCAACTATTACGCTGATTATGATTATGGAATTGTCTTTCCTTTTTGAAAAATAACATAATAGTTTCTCGATTGGTTTTCCACAATTCATTTTCAGGTATGGTGGAAACAGCCATTCTTCGATGTCCATCTCTAAGATGGACATATGATGTATTAGGGGCACACATGTCTTGGTGAGACGGCTGTTTCATCAAAACTATGTCAATAATATTTTTTAAGGGTGTGGTTTGTATACGGTTGTAATTTTAAACAATTCAATTAAAGCGCACTTCTAAATTTTATCATAAATATAATTTTGATATTCAAATTTTTTAAGGCTTTTTGAGCATGTATGCCATTTCTAATTATAAAATTTCAAACTCTAAAAATGGTAGATCTATAAACACATAAATTTTTTGAAAATAGACAGTTCAAATAATATATTGTAAGATACAATATTTCGTGGATCCGAAATCTTTTTTTCTTTTTATAGTTATACATCTCGATGTCAATATGATCAATTAGAGGGTTTTCCAACATCCAAACAACTTTTTATGATGGATTTTTTAGATGCACCTTTAATTTTACATTTTAAGGTTGCAACCTTATATAAACTTTTTTCTTACTTTAATAGACTATCTCATTTAAAACTAATATATTTTTAAAGGTGCGGTTTGTATAGAGCGGAGGCTCTAAACAATTAAAATAAAGCACACCTTCAAATAGTGTCAAGAAAATGGGGTTTCAATACTGAAAATCCTTGTGAAAGACTTAAAACATATTTTGATATGTAATTATACAATTTAAAGCTTCAAAAATAGTGTAGATAGAGCCGATCTATGAAAACTTGAAAATCTTGAAAATTGGCGGTCCAAAAATGCATTACAAGATGCACTATTTCCAAAACTTAGAAATCTATTTCTTTTCTCATGTACATGCATCTTGAGGTCGAGATGAATGATTTGAAGATATTTGGGCATTAAACCAACATCTTCGTTTTTAAATGATATTATTTTGTTAGTTGTGTGGTAAGAGTTGTGTATTACGTATAATAATATTTAAGTAGTTAACCTTTTTCAAGGAGTTCCAATTATTTTTGCCCATTGTTGACAAAAACGTTTGACTTTAGCAAATTGACCATGCATAAAATAAAAACTGCTTATAGACTTGTAAAATTAGACTATAAATTTATCTCAAATAGGATACTACCAAACAACAGAAAATTTATCATCAGAATTAATTTTATTAAAATAGTAACGCATCCAAAGACGCCCTTAGCTAATCCGTAGTTTTATTTTGATGGTTTTTGCAGCCTTTACTTCCTGTGTTGTTGCTGCTTATTACAAAGTTGCTGTGGACCCCTCTTTGGAGGACCGCCGGGCCCTCGTCCCTTCTGATCTCTACTGTCTTTCCTAGAAGTTAATAGATTCATGTTCCTTTGTCATATCGATTATATGTAATACAAAATAGTTGCTTTACTTCATTGTGTGAATTTATGATTATCTAGGAATGTGATTGTAAAAGTTATGAGCATTTTATTTGGTTTCACTTGTAAAATGCTCTACGAAAGTACGATTAATTATTAATAGGATATCGTTTTTATGATTCGACTAATGGATATGTAGATATGCGCCCACGTTTATGGTTTATTTTTTAGATGAGATTTCAACATAATTTTTAAGAATACACAATGGGTGCAGTTTGTATGAAGCCGAGGCTCTAAACAATCAAAGTAGAGCGCACCTTCAGATAGTGTTGAGAAATATGGTTTCATAACCTTGAATATATTTTCATCTCTAATTATAAAATTTAAAGCTTAAAAAACAGTGCGGATCGAGCAGATCTATGAAAACTTAACAATCTTGAAAATTGACGGTCCAAAAATGCATTAGAAGATGCATTATTTCCAAACGTTCAAATCTATTTTTGTTCATGTCCATGCATCTTGATGTCGAGATGATCAATTTGAGGATATTTGGACATCAAAACAACCTCTTCTAGTGAAATTTTCGAAGCACGCTCTAATTTGATTGTTTAGAGCCTCGGCTCTATATGAACTTTTTCAATATATAATTGGGATCATTAACATGTTAAAAATATATGTTAAAATTTAAAAAGACTTTTCTTGTTTTTTGGAAAAATAAGTTTTGACCGTCCATGCCCATAGTAGAACACCCACGCCATAACCCTACTAGACGAGAACACCACCACAATCCATAGTAGAACACCGACGCCATAACCCTACTAGACACGAACACCACCACAACCCACAGTAGAACACCCACGCCATAACCCACGAGAACACCACCACAACCCATAGTAGAGCACCAGACATATTAACAACCCTGCACCAGTAGAACACCCACGCCATAACCCACGAGAACACCACCACAACCCATAGTAGAGCACCAGACATATTAACAACCCTGCACCACAAGACAAGCGTAAGTACACCAGAAGTAAGTACAATAATGGCCTAGGTGGCCATACTTGACCGCACCCATATTAACAACCCTGCACCACAATCCATACCATGGCAGAACACCACAACGGTGACCCATATTAACACCCTAGTAAGTATAGACGACAAACGTAAGTACACCAGAAGTAACTATAATAATGGCCTAGGGAGCCATACGTGACATACCCCTAAGCGTAAGTACACAATTGCTGATTGCGCGGTAATTGGAATCATTAACTGGTGAATGAATCTGAATTCATGGAATGGTTTTTGAATCTTTGTTAACAAGAGAATCAAATTGATATACAACTAATTAATATCAATTCCTTTCAATTCAAATTACATTCATTCAATATTCAATTCATATTCAAATGAAATTAATCATAACAATTCAAATTACATTGATTTAATATTCAATTCATATTCAAATGAAATTAATCATATTTATAACAACCATTTTATGTATGTAAATCCCAAACAAAAATGATCACATATCCGTAGTTTATTTATATGTTTTTCAATTTTGAATAGAAAATAGGGCATGAATATATTGGAGCTACGAATAAAGGAAAGAATATGCGGTTAGCTAGATGGCTATATTTGCACTGCATTTACCATAACCATCATAACCTCTAGTGGCCGAATACCGTAGTTAGCTAAATGGCTATATCTGTATTGCATTTACCATAACCATCATAACCGGCCGAATGCAGTAGCGGAGCGGTCTCTTGCGGCGCGGGATGCAGTTGGGGACGCAATAGTGGAAGAGTCTTAACCAGTCAAAATGGAGCATGAACATGAGCCTGAACTGGTTGATGCCAATGGGCACAACTGGTTGATGCCAATGGGCACATGTAGCTTATTGATGCAAATGAGCATATGTATGGTTAACCTAAGCCAAATACTACGAACTAGATCAAATTGGCTGGAAACTGAGCCTAGACAAAATGGAGTATTAGCTAGGTAAAATAGGGCTGTAACCTAAGCCTAGAAAAAATGGGTTCGGAAATGGCCAAATAGAGAGCCATATCTTCCCTCTTCAATTCCTAAAGTGTCGGATCGTTTAGGCCAATAGGCGGATAAACTGGTGCCCTAAGCTATAGTCGGGTCGGAGCTAAATGAATTAGTCCGTACCCTTCTAATTAGCCCTAAGTGCAAATGGGTGAAATACTAATAAAACCCAAGAAATAGCACGTACAATAGAAAGTCGCATATACAAAAGGGTGCAGTTTGCATGCAGATGCATCCGTAGCTGTAGAGGCCTTCAAATTTTATCATGGTATATAATTTTGATGTAAATGTTCTTGGGATTATTTCAAAATCTATTTTTATATCTAATTATAAAATTTTAAATTTAAAAAATGGTTAAAATCAAGTAGATCTATAAACATACGAAAATCTTGAAAATGGACAGTGTAGATAATATATTGTAAAATACACTATTTCCGAGACTTAAATTTTTTTTATTTTTCATGGTCATACATCTCGATGTTGAGATGATCAATCAAAAGGTTTTTCAACATTAGAAGTATCTTTTCCGATAGATTTTTGAGGTGCATCCGTAGCTCTACATTGCAAGGTTGCAACCTTATATAATTTTTTTTTTATACAAAAATATCCAAAATGTTCAAACACAACCATAATTTTTTTTTCAAACATAATCAAAACCATAAATCCAAAAGCATTTCCATGCATTTTAAAAATTCTCTAATCTGAAAGCATTTTCATGCATTTTGAAAAGTTTATGCACAATAAATCAATTCACCATTATATGAGTGTAATTTGCCAGCCCATAATTCCTCACTCTTATCCAAAAAAACAAAAAAATTAGTCCATACCCTTATAATTAGTCTCCTCCAATGTTACAAGTTAAATGTCAAATCGATGGAACTCTCTTCCCATGCTTTAATTTCAAAGGGAAAATATTATAATTAATTCTCATTTAAGTTAAAATGAATGACGAATGCTAAAGTTTGAAATTGAAATTGAAATGACAATTGGAATAAAGCGTTGATATAAGGGCATCTATAAATGCCTCTTCACATTCAAAGCATGACCTAATCACACGAATAAAGCATAGAGCAGAAAAAGCATCTTCCTTTGCATTGACTAGTAAAAAATAAAATGACAAACACATGTTACTTTCTAATATTTATTTTAAAATATGCAATTTTATGACCATATTTTTAAAAATTCAAATTCTTTAAAACTATACGTGAAATTAAAATTAAAATTTACAATTAAAAAGAATTAATAAATCAATTTAACATTAAGATGTCTTCAATAGCTATAATATATTACTAATAAAATAATAACAAAGTAATGATATTTTTATGAATATTATAAAGAAAAAGTTTATGTAAAGTTGAGACCCTAAACAATCAAAATAAGGGGTGTCTAAAAAATTTTCTAGAAGAGGTTGTTTTGACATTGAAAAACCCTCAAATCGATCATCTCAACCTCGAGATCTAAAGATGTGAAACAAATAAATTTCAAGTCTAAGAAATACTACGTTTTGTAATGCATCATCTGGGTCGTCAATTTTCACTATTTTTCTCGATCTACATTATTTTTGAAGCTTTAAATTATTTGATCGATCTACATTATTTTTGAAGCTTTAAATTTTATAATCAAATATGAAAATGAAATTTCTAACCATTGCAAAAATTTTTCCTAGTGAAAACTCATATTTTGATACTATTTAGAGGTGTGCCTTCTTTTGATTGTTTAGGGCCTTAACCTTATACAAACCTCACCCATAATATAATTATATGTTTGCAATTATAAATTTTTCAATATATATTTATTTTATTAAAATTTTATTTATATTAATGTAAAAATTCATATATGGGAAATGTTTCTATACTTCCCCTACAGCAAAGAAGATCTATGCTTCCCCTACCATCCAGCCGTTCAATTTTGATCAAGAGAGCCACTCACCATTTGATCTTCGATCCGACGTATCAAAGTATTTTATTTTTATTTTTTTATACAAATTGTATGAATATGAAATTTAGTACGTGTCATCTTCTCATTGAGACACACTTATAAAAAATATTAAAAATAATTTTTCGATAAAATATAATGACCAAAATACCCTTGAAACTTTTAAGGGTGTTTTAGTCATTTTATTTTATTGAAAATATTTTTTGTTTATATTTTTATCTAGTACGAGTTTAATAGAGAATTAGAAGTCCAAAATTTGGTGTCAAAATAGTTTATAGAAAAAACATTAAAATAAAATAGTGTAGTGATGTAACATTGTGATTGGGGCAATCTTAGCCCTCCATTCAGAATGGATGGTTGGATAAAAGGAAGTATATAAGTTTTATGCTGCAGGATAAAAGTTTGCCCTTCATATATTATGATTAATAAGTATAGTTTAATTAATTATAATGATGATAATTAAATACAATATCAAAAAATCAATAAAAATGAAATTATTTCCAAGAAAAAAAAATACTTGCTATGCCTAATACTTCAATTTGATTTGTATCTATGTTGATTTTGCCATCGTTTGAGTGGTTTTTTCTGCGCAAAACTGCCCGAGCCTAACCACCCATAAAAACCATGTTCTGGCTTTTATTTGGAGAAAAGCTAAGAATAGGTTCAAATAATTGATCCACATCCTAAAAACAATAATGCTTTCTAATAGGCTTGAATGGAATAAAGTGGCTCGATGATTTCCAATAATATAAATACAATTATATAAAATATATATAATTACTTTAATTATAAGATAATTTAAAGTATTCTAGCTAATTTTTTACTAAAATAATATTAGCGTCAACAATAATAATGCAATTGTAATATTATAAAATATTAAAACAATTGTACAAATATAATTAGAATTGTAATTAAATATTGTGGATATGTTTTACATGTAACACACTCTCCCAACTCCGATGTACTTATTTATGGGATGAAGTTTCTATAGGGCCTAGGCTTTGTCGAAACAAAATAAAGCATCACCACAAATTCTCACTGCAAAAGCACTTTCAATGACAGAAATTCTCATGATGGCTCCAAAATCAATTTCTAACACTGATGATAAAGTTTGAAATTTCAAAAATGGTATAGATCTTGCGGTTCGATGGACACTTATTTTTAGGGACGAAATAGATGGATTAGATAATTTGTTACAATATATATTATTTTTATAGCTTGAAATCCCAATTTCTTTTCACAACCATCATGTTCAAGCTAAGATGATCGGTGTAAATGTTTTTCGATGCTGGAATTGCAATTTGCAATGAGTCATGCGGTGAGGCTTACTCGAATGGCCCAGACTGAATCTGGGCCATTCTGTGATTGATCATACGCTCACGGATGTTTGATAGTTTTTGAATTTTCAATTTTTTTCTACAAATCCAAATCACTTGAAATTTTAGGTGTGTGTTCTTATCATCGAAGCGTACCT